ATAACATTTAATCCTTCTAACTTCCCTTAATATAAAAGTAAATTCCCAACTTTAAATTGTATCCAATTTAACCTTTATATATTGTCAATTATAAGATAAACTCTAATAAAATATTTAATTTCATTTTAGTCCTTAATTGACTTTAACCTTGACTAGTCAATTTTTGATTTTTGACCAAGAAAAATTGAATTATAATAATCTTACCTCCTTAAAAGAATTTCGTCCTTGACATTCAATTGACAACTGACTGGGTAATAAATAGATGAGGATATTGAGCATGCATCTGATCCTCGTTCTCCCTTGTAGCTTCTTTTACCATCTAATTTTTCCAAAGTACCTTTACAAGTGAAATTATTTTGTTTCGTTGAGTTTGCACCATTTTGTCTAGAATTCTCGCTAGTTCTTCTATATAAGTCAAATTCTACTTCAACTGAACTGATTGAGACTCCAGAACATGAGAAGGATCTGCAATGTACTTGCGAAGTATGGAAACATGAAAAACATTTTCATCTGGCATATCTAATCAGTATGCAACTGGGCCAATCTGCTCAGTAATCTCATAAGGTCCAATATACTGTGGACTCAACTTTTTTCTCTTGCCAAATCTCAACACCCCTTTCTAAGGCGACAATTTTAGAAAACCTTTATCTCATACTGTAAACTCAAGATCTTTTCTGCGCCTATCAACATAACTTTTCTGTTTATCTTGAGCTACCTTCAACTTATCTTTGATCAATTTCACATTTTTGGACGTCATTTGAACCAATTCAGGGCCTACTAACTTCCTCTTACCAGCTTCATCCCAACAAACTGGTGTTCTGCACTTTCAACTATATAAAGCTTCAAAATGAGCCATTTTTATATTGGAGTGGTAGTTGTTATTGTAAGTAGACTCCATCAATTTCACAAGCCCTCAACATATCCTCAAGAATCTATTCCTCTCTAACTGTCTAAGGATGAAAAACTATACTAAAATGTAGTTTAGTACCCATGGCTTCCTACAAATTGGGCCAAAATTTATATGTAAAATGAGAATCTCTATCAGACACAGTAGATAATGGAGTGCTATATGAGCTCACTATCTCGTCTACATACAACTTTGCCAACTTATTTAAAGTATAAGTGGCTTTGATTGTGGCAAGAACCTGGCAATTTTGGTCAAACGATCTAGAATAACCTAAACTCCATCATGACCATTCTGAGTATGAGGAAGACCAAGTAAAAAGTCCATAGTAACGTGCTTCCATTTATATTCTGGAATAGCCAATGGCTGTAAAAGTCCTGCTGTTTTTCGATGAACTGGCTTTACCTGCTGAGATATAAGACATTTGGATATAAAACCTACTATCTCTTTCCTCATGCCATTCCACCAGTAATGATCTTTCAATGTGTGATATATTTTAATACCTGAATGCATAAAATAAGCAGAACTGTGTGCCTCTTCGAAAATTTCCTTCTTCAATTTCTCTTTTGATCTAGAATGGTAAGTATAAGTATATTGAATTAAATTTTTTAAGGGATATGCGAGATTTGCTTTAATTCAATGTTTAGCAAGAATTATGTGTTATTAATTTGTATTTGATGTTTTAAATAAGAATATAGCAAAGAAATGTTCATTTGGATAATTTGAGGTTCAAGAAAGTGGAAACTTTGAAAATGGGTTTGTGAGATAAAAGCATATTCTTCGAAATTCTTGTAATTATATGCTGCTAAACATTTAAATTAAGGATTTGAGATTGGATTCCCCATTTTTTCCAGCCATTTTCGAGCTATTGTAGTATAGGTGTTATTTTTGAACTTCTGCCAAGAAAAGCGCTAGTTCTATCCATGTTTTCGATGATATATTTCAATATATAGAAATTGGTGCCCATTTTCAATATTCTGAAATTATAGTGCTGGTTTTGTCAATCATATGATTTTGTAGATTTTTAGTATAGAAACCAAATTAAGTGTTACATATATGGGGTTTTAGTGTTAAAATAATTTATGTAACGGAGTATATGTCGTTATTGACCCTAAATGGAATTATGAGATTGAAAATAAAATATATCAAGTTTTCATTGGTAAATTATTATTTCTAATGGTAGGAAAATACTCAAGGCATCTTGTAAAGGGATATGATTTATTGTAGTGAGAGAATGATATCATATTTGGTAATTTGAAAGTGAGGCAACGAGAAGATTGAAACCATGATTGACTATGACTTGGTGAGTGGATCAAAACTTATTTTTCAGAAATTAGTATCTATTAAATTTATATTAGATTAGAAAATTTATTATTTCATACAATTGATTTAACAACATGATTTTCAGAATAAAGTAGATTTATAAACAATTATTTTTAAAGTTAAATTCAGTTTAGTTAAATCATTTCATTGGCATACTATTTCAGTATTAAATATTTCAGCATATTTAATGTTATTTTTAAAACCACCAGAAAGTACCCAAATGATTTTACCTTAGTCTGCACTTGTGTGAATATGTTTCCACGGTGTATGACTCTATATGATTATTTTACCCACTTTGCATAGGTGTAAATGTCTTTTCATAGTGTATGATCAATTATGATGATTTTACCCACTCTATTCTATTGTGAATGTGTTTTCATAGTGCTCCAGCTTATCAGAGGTTTCTGAGATCCACTCTCATACACACATAGGATTTGGGCTGTGTATTAGAGTGATTAGCCTTTAGGGTAGCTCTACGTACATATGACCAAATTATCATATGTGAAAGGCTTTGCCTTGTACATTGAGATTACTTTGTACATGAGTAAGGCCATTCATTGGGTACTTTTTTGGTATGATTTTCAGTATTATACAACTTATTAGATTTCAGACTATAGAATGTAGCTTATTCACTTTGTAGAGTAATGATTTCGGCTTATAGTGCTGTGAAAGGATATTTTCACTTATATTTAGTGATATCGGATTATTTATATTCATTATACTTTACAGTTGCTTATCTAGAATAAAGAACTAAGAATTTTATGATGCATTCATGTTTGGTTTTAAAAGTGTTATAGGATTTCAGAATTTCTAGAAGTTTTAGTATTGCAAGAATTTTTAGAAAATATGCATCAATGTAAAAGTATATCTATTTGCAAATTATCCACTTACTAAGCTATAAGCTCATATATCTTTTTCACCTTTTTCTTGATCAGATAGCAGTCGAGTTGAGTAGTATTGGAGCCTGTCGATCCACCGAATTGAGCCATATGTCATTAGTTCTATGACCTACTTTTATCAGATTATATAGTACATGTTTCTTTTGGATGTAATTATGGGTTCACTGCATATTTGGTATCTTTAATATATTTGAGGATCGTTGATTGTAAAGCAAGTAAATATTGATTTCCCAATATTTTATTTGAATAGTTGTATTTGAGGGACTGACGTACCCTGATTAATATTATAGTATGGATTTGAGGAAAAATTGAATATTGTTTAGGTGGTTTAGTTTATATTTTAGGGAAAACTCTGCCAAGATTCTGTTAAAAATATTTTTCAGTTAAGCAAGTCAAAGTTGTCTTAGTGGTGAGTCCCGCATTTAGCTGATATCTACTATCGGCGTATGACACGTGTCGAGTCTATTAAAGTGATTCTGGACAGGTCTGTGTAGTATAGGTCTTCTTGTTTCGAATTGACCTACATAAATTTCTCCAATTCTACCACTTCCTTCTCCTAATATGCTATCATCTTAACCTATTGAAGATGGCGACAAAAGTCTTCCACCACCTCAACTTTCTCCAATTGCAAAACAATCTCCCATTGTGGTACCGCCATCACCTCCTGCTCTAGTGAAGTCATCTCTACTTTCAATAAGACAATCTCCTCGTCGAAAGAGGTATATATCTTGCCTCGCCCTCCAGGTAGCATGTTTTCTTTACTTTGTATTTTTATTATCTCTATGTTGGGACAATCTGACCTTAGGAGCATTTGATCAGCACCAAGGCAAAGACTGCTGGGCTATAGAGCCTCCAAGCAAATGGAAATGGAGGCTGAGGCTCAAAAAGTTAAGCATGCAAAGAGAAAGTCACCCATTGAAGATGATAAGGAGGAAGAAAAAGAAGATATGATATCTTTAGCATGCAAAGCTTGATCCGAGGCTCCTATTAAGTCCTCTCAAAAGGGAAAAACTCTGACCGATCTCTCTAATGTGTCTATTCAGTCCTCTCTAGTTTGAATTCCAGTTTCCTCCACAGATTCTCAATCCACTTGACGTTTGGGACATTCTGAAAAAATGAAATCGAAAATAGAAGCGTTGATAGGTTGTCATCTAGAAATGTTTCCGAACTTCATAAGGATTCTACCTTATAGCTCGGATTCAATTTTGTTTTTCCTCAACTAATAAAGAATTCTGTAGGTCTGCTTTTGAGGAGCTGGTCTAAGAGAGAGAGTGTTATAATTCAATTTTTATAGTCAAAAATTCAAATGTTGACTAGTCAAGGTCAAAGTCAATTAAGGATTAAAACGAAATTAAACATTTTATTTGGGTTTATTTTGCAATTGACAAAATATGAAGGTTAAATTGGATACATTTCAAAGTTTGGAATTTACTTATATAATTTTGGAAGTTTAGGATTAAATGTGATATAAAAATGGAGTTGGGGGACTTTCCTTGCAATTTTTGAGTAAGTGGAATTTATATTCAACCTTTGACCCATTTTTCACTCAAAATCACACACACACAGTGAAAAAAACGGGCAGCAAGCTGGGACCGAAAAAGAGAGAAAAATTTAGGGGAAAAAGGGAAGAAAAAAGGAAAGAAGGAAGGAAAGAAGAAGAAAAGAGGTAAGGGTAATCTCTTCAAGTTTGGGTTGAATTTTTTCATTTATTTCAAGTGATAAAGTATGAATTATGTAAAATTTTAGGGTTTTATTTTGGCTCGAAATTTTTAGATTTTTTTGAGATGAATACTACTTGGAGTTCAAGTTATTGATTCTTGAATTTCTATCTACGTTAAAGTATGGAGTATCAATTTTTTTTGGCGAACCCTAGAATTCGATTTTGGAATTTTTGATTATTTAATTGTGGAAATGATTATATAAATGGAATATTTCACTTGGGAGTTGATTTTATGGAACAAATGTATATTAAATGGGTGGAATTGTGGTTACTAGTTTCACTAGATTAGAGAGTAAAATTAGTTTAAACTTGGGAAGAAGGTTTTGTTGATGAATTAGTTATTAGAAAAGGGATTAGAAAGTGGGATTAGCTCCAGTTGATCAAAAGAATATTTGGGAAATTCATTCGAGTATCGACCAATTTTAGTTAAGTATTATAGAAGTAGATCTTAAAGTTTCTTAATTTAATAGTGGTTGATTAATCATCTTGTTATGTATTCCAGGTGGTGACGAGGAGATTGGAAGAGCCTATCGACCATCTTAGGTTCAGCTTGTATTATGTGAGTGGATAAACTTATTTTTCAGAAATTAGTATTTTGTATTTATTTAATTTATATTAACTCAGAAAATTATTTAATTCATACAATCGAATTGACAACACGATTTTTAGAATAAAGTTAATTTATAACCAGTTGTTTTTAAAAGTTAAATTCAATTTAATAAATCATTTTATTAGATGTTATATGAGTATTAAATATTTCAGCATATTTAAAGTTATTTTCTAAAAAATCACCAGAAAGTACCCAAGTGATTTTAACCTCGTCTGCACTGGTGTGAATGTGTTTCCACAGTGTATGACTTTATATGGTTATTTTATCCACTCTACGCTGGTGTGAATGTATTTCCACAGCGTATGATCAGTTTAGTGATTTTACCCACTCTGCACTATTGTGAATGTGTTTCCATAGTGTATGACCATTTTATAGCTCTGCGCGCGTACGACCAGAATTACAGAATTTTAGAATTGAATAACCTTGCTATGTATATCGAGATTAATCAATTCACAAGGATGGTTATTTCGGGTACATTTTTGGTGTGATGTTTCAGTATTACATAGCTTATCAGATTTTAGAAATACAGTATACAGAATAAAGATGTTTATGATTACAGTATATTTTAGTTTTGATAGTATCATCAGATTTTAAGCTACAGAATTCAGCTTATTCAGTTTAAAGAATATATATTTTAGTTTATATGTCTGTGAAAAGAAATTTTATGCTATATGTCGGTTTTTAGAAAAAATTTATGAATGGAAAATTATATTTTTACAAATATCCACTCACTGGGTAATAGGCTCACATTTTTATCACTATTTCTCTTATCAGATAGTAGCTGAGTTGAGCACTACTGGGCCAGTTGATCTATCAAGTTGAGCCATAGATTGTCAAGCATTGTATGAATTATTTTTTCAATTTAATAGTTCATATTTTGGGATAGACACCTCTTTTGGTTATAAATTAATTCCATGTGTTGGGCTTGCTATGTTTTGTATATATATTATGCATTTTTGGTACTGTGGTTTAGAAATTGTTGCAAAAGTCGAATTGCTAGTGTTGTATTTGAATAGTTGATATTTTGAGGGGCCGGTGTACCCTATTTCAAACTATATGTACATATTTGGGATATTTGATTTTATTTTCATGTGGTTTTAGAACATTTTTCAGAGGGAACTCTTCCGAAATTTTTATAAAATTATAACAGTCAAAGCATGTCAAGTTTGCTTTGGTGGTGGGTTCAACACTTCGCTGGTATCTACCATCGACGCACGATACATGTCGGATCCATTAGGTGATCGGGATGGGTCGTGTCAGAGAGCAAGGTAACTTCGAACAAATGTCAACAATTAAAACTTGCATCATTACTGAATTCCTTGGTCATAAGTTCATTTTGTATATGATTGCGGTTTTCAACAAGGTATGGATTTTCATTATGAGGTATATAAAGGCCTTTTGTATTTTCTGTCAGGTGAAAACTGAGTTCGATAAGGTGGTTGGTCTGAGAGACGAAGCTTTGAATCTTCATTTTGTCTTCGAAAAAGAAAGGCATTTCATGCTGAAGAAAATAGAGCAACGGAAGAGTGTCTAATCAAAGCAGAAACAGAGATAGAGCCCAAAGCTAAGGTTGAAGAAGAGTTGAAACACAAGCTTCAAGTGATGAAGACCTGAGAGAAGGTTTCGGCACGTGCTGAAAATGAGAAAAAAGCTGCTAAAGAGCAAGCTCGTGTCGAAGATGAGAAGAAGAGGTTAGAAGAAGAGTGAGCTTGCACTAATAAATAAAAAGAGTCTAAAAGGGCTGATAAGGAGTGGGATTATGCTAATGAATTGAGGCTGAAGTAGATTGGAAGAGTTCACCTGCTTATGATCCATTAGCCCAGGTGCCTACGTGGTGGGCCTGGCTAAAGTGATGAGACATATTGAGCCTAAGAGGCTAAAGTTTGGTGTTGGCTTCTTGTATAAAGCTTTGGACGAACAAAGAGCCTCACTTGTCGAGATTAATGCTGTTGTTGGAATTGTTCCAGCTCCTTCATAGAATTAGCCACTTACCATATAGGATTTTTAGGTTGTTTTTACATTCTTTTTGTTGAATGTTGAAATACGTTTCTCCAACTCATGTAATCCTCCTCTAATGGATAATGGATATCACGATGTTTATTGTTGTTATTTTTGTATCTTACGCTATGTGTAGAAGTATTTACCAATGTTTTTAAAATTGTACTAGATAGGCCCATCGTTGTCGATTTTATCTCGCAAGTGGACGGATCGTAACAAGTAGTAAAGTGGATATTTTGAGTTCGAATTATCGTTCTCACGAGGACTATTTTCTAGCGCTTAATTCAATTTTTTTTCTTTAACTACTATTTGATGGAAACAGATTAAAAGTTATATGATTCGAATGATTTGAATTTTAATCTAAATTCTAGAAAATAAATGAATGCCCACACAATTTTTTTTTTTTTTTTTGTAAAATCAAATAATTAAAGGACGTTAGGGCAGAATAATTTCACACATTGATCACCTTTACATCTCAAATTAAGACTCAATTCTAATGTAGTGTTCGATCGAATTCTCCAATTGTATTTAATTTACCTTTCTCGAGATTTCATTGAGCCTATTCAACTAATTAAATTTCATATCTCTATGCAAATTTAACTTAGTTAACCGGTTTCTTTGTCCTAGGAATTCAATTATGACCGCAATAAATGACATATATATCTCTATTCGTTATACCGATGTAATGGATTTTACTACATGGTCTAAATCCTAAACTCATATCTCCATTTTTAAAGGATTCAAAAAATTCATCAAATTATTGATCAGGTAATTTAATGCAATCAATCCATAGCAAAAATCAACACATGAAAGAATTAAAAACCAAGAATCTTAATAAGAAAATATAAAGGATCTCAAATGGGTTACATTATTCACCCTAACAATGGATTTAGCTACACATAGTAAAAGATGAGCACGTAAAATTGTCTTAGAATACATCATCGGATTTTTAATAAGAGAATGTAGAAGAAAAAGTGGATCTTGCACCAAGAGTTCCTCCTCTTTCCAATTTATACTTTACACGATGAATTTGGCGTTGTCTTCTCCCTTTTGAATCTCTTCCCCTTTTTCTCAATAAGTGTTCTTGCCTCTAGAATGTGTAGAACCCCCTTAAAGTGTGAGAAATCTCGTATTTATAAGTCCCTTGCCGTGTTGGAAGAATAGGGTTTTCATATAGATTCAAAAACGGGCTGAAATTGTACCCTAACGCATCTGGGATGTGGCGTCACGGTGCCGCGTCAAAAAATAGGTTGTGGCGCCACGGTGCCACTTTTCGAACAGATAGCACGCACCTCTTTTAGCATTTTTAGCATAACTTTCTCTCCTGATATTCAATTGAGGTGATTCAAGATGTGTTGGAAAGCTCTCTCAAAGGGCTACAACTTTGTTTCAGACATAATTCTTCGATTCGATCGTTTTCTATGTCAAAAACGGGTCTTAATGTGAGCCTAAAATTTCGAAGCATAGCTTTTCGGTTGGAAATTGATTTGTGATCATATTTTGCCTAAATTTGATCCCTTTGACATCTTTCTTCATCCAATTGACTCCCAACGCTCTTGAATCTTCATCTTGAGGTTTGACACAACTTTTGAATATTTGTACTTTAGTCCCTGAACTTTGAATTTCATACGATTTAGCTGTTTTCTCCAATTTTGCCTACTTTTGCTTTTTTCCTTCAAATCCTTTTCCTTCATAGAATTTTACATATTAAACATAAAATACAAACATTTAGGATATAATTTGTCGAAAGAACTATTAAATATCTTTATTTAAGGTACCGAATAAGTGTATAAAATACAATTATCACCCGTTCAACCGGAAAACCAGGGAATTGGATCGAAATCCAGTTTGGTTATAGCGTAAAAACCAGATGTTAAGAAACTGGTGTAAAATTTGAGAATCATTCGGTTCAATCGACAACCGATGGACCGGTCATGATTTTTATAGGTTTTACAGGTAATGTTTGGTAAAAAAAAAAAAAGTGTAAAATGAAGAAAGAGGAAGGAGAGGAGGAGGCTTCATTCGCGATCCTGTTGTCACCATAACTTAAGTGTCTTTTTGGTTAAATCCATGTAAAAAATTTTAATCAAAACATCCAAGATTCAAATCTAAAACCGTCTTAAATAAATAACAATAGAAGTATTTATGTTGTTATACACAAATACATACATCTTACATGTCAAAGTGAAGATGGAGAGAGAAAAGATTAGGCAAAAAGTAGGAGGCGGCACTATTAAACTTTTGTCTCTGCAAGATTGTAATGTTGATGTAAATTACATAATGCAAATTTTATATTAAGGTAAGTTTAGATTTTGTGTTATGGCCTTAAATTTTTTTTTTTGGCCTATTTAATTTCTCCACTTGATGTTAAAATCCATAGGTAATAACTGGTAAATAATGAGTTTTAAAATGTTATTTAAAAATTTTAATGTAGTATGCAAATCTGTATATTATTTAATTTATTTTAATTTCGGGTCACAATTCGACCTCGGTTCGATCGGTTGACCCTTAACCCTTTAACTTTTTCGGGCTGATGATCGAGTCGATTTTCAGAAGACTGGTATTTACAACCTTAGGTTGATCTGACGAAGAGTAAGTTTTTGCAATAATTACAAGTTAGCTCATACTGTTGAAGAGCAAATTTTGTATGCATTTTCACTAAGTGTTGCGATACTTGCAACCTTAGTTCGTACTATTGAAGATCAGGCGCTTGTATGATTTTTCATTGAGTGTTATAATACTAAAGTATCATAGCACTTAAAGCTTAATTCGTTCTACTGAAAACCAGGTTTTATATAGTTTTTCACTAAGTGTTGTACCACTTACAAGCTTAGTTCTTATTGCTGAAAAGCAGATTTTATATGCTAAATGTTGTAGTACTTGCAACATCAACTTGTATTGTTGAAGAACTAGTTTATATTATTTTTCGATAAATGTTGCAGCATTTATAATTTTAGTTCATATTGCTGAAGAGCAGGTTTTATGTGCTAAGTGTTATAACACTTAGAACATTAGCTCGTGTTGCTAAAGAGTAGGTTTCCAGGAGTTATGCGTGTCAAGACTTCTCAAAATAACTGACTACTTATTTTAAAAGCGTTCTACATAGATTAGTACACACGATAAATCTATAATATTTTTTTGAGATGTTTTGCTTTGCATGGTTGTAAGAGATGGTACCCTAACATGTCTTTGGTAAGATTTTGATGACTCGATAAGGCCTTTCTTGGTTTGGTCCTAAGGATCCCAAACTGAGATCTCTAATGGCTAGGAATATTTTTCTTAACACAAGGTCGCCAACTTTAAACATTCTTATTCATACTTTTTTATTATAATATATTGCACTACGTTGTTTGTAAAAAGTCATCCTTAGTTTGACATCTTTCCCTTTTCCTTTAATAGATCAAGTTCGGCATGTATGGCTTCTCCATTCTTTTTTTCTTTAAAGTAGGTGGTTCGAAATGAAAAAACTCCAATCTCGACTGCCACCGGAATGACGGCTTCTACTCCAAATGCTATAGAGCTAACACGCTAGGAGCTCTTCTGCCATGCCTCCTTAAAGATATCAAGTCGAGTTTTCAAGGTGTACTTGGTTATCTTATTGATGGCTTCTACTTGCCCATTTACCTACAGATGATTTAGGGGGGAAATGTGTTTCTTAATGTCGAATTCTTCAAAAAAGATCATTAGTTGTACATTGTCGAACTGCTTCCCATTGTTAGTGACAATGGAATGAGGTATGCCAAACTATAAATGATAGATTTCCAAATGAAATTAATAGTCTTTTGTTATGTTATTTTAGGCAAAGGTTTAGCCTGTGTTCACTTAGTGAAATAGTCATCAACCACTATTGCAAATTTGGTTCCAACTTTGTCTGTAGGTATTGGACCAATCAAGTCTATTCTTTATTTAGAAAATGGCCATGAATTTATAATGGAAGTGAGTTCTTTTGGAGGAACTCGAATCATTGGGGCTAAGTGTTGACATTTGTCACATTTTCTGACGAAGTCCATAGCATCTCACCTTAACGTAGGCCAAAAATATCCCTGCATGATGACTTTATAAGCTAGAGTTTTCTCCCAACATGATTCCCACATATTTCTTCGTGCATCTCTTGTAAGACGTACGGAGCATCTTCTTCGTTCAAACATTTTAATAGAGGATAGCATGGCCTATTTTATATAAGACATTATCAATGAAAGTATACCCAGTCGATCTGATTCTAAGCATCCGAGCTTCTGTAAAGTCTGCATGGTTTATTTCATGTTTGAGGAATTGAACTATTTCATCCATCTAAGAAGGCTTTGTATCTATGACCATGGATGTCATCACATTGTCATCTATGGTAGATTATTTGATTTTTCCCAAAGGAATGTTGTCAATCTTATTTATTCTACTGCTTGTTGCCAGCCTGGCCAATGCGTCAGCATGGTTGTTTCAAGACTGGGTATTTTTGTCACTTTGGCCATGTCAAAGTTTCTCAACTCGTTGCGCACAACTAGAAAGTAATTGCTCATTCTATCTTCCTTGCTTCGAAACACCTGGTTGACTTGATTTACGATGAGTTAGGAATTGCTGTAGACCATCACATAGGATATCCTTAGTTCTTTGGCGGTTGTTAGTTAGTTATCAATGCTTAATATTCAGCTTCATTATTGGAGGCTTTGAATTTGAATGGAAGGGCTTGGTTAAAATAGTGACAATCTGGATTGATCAGCACTATCCTTACTCTTGATAGTGAATCTTTAGATGATCCACGATAAATAGTTTCCTAGGCCATCTTTCTGTATTTCTATTTGTGGACTCGAGTTCAATTCAACTACGAAATCAGTGAGTGCTTGCCCTTTGATGGTTGTACGTAGTTTATACGAAACATCAAACTATCTAAGCTCCACAGCCCGTTTCACAATACGTCCTAAAGTGTTAGGTTTTTGTAGGACTTGCCTTAGGACATAATTGATAAGGACCTTAGTTAGGTGTTCCAAGAAATAACAAATCAATTTTTCTGGTTGACATGGTCAGGGCATAGGCAAGCTTCTCCATATGAGAATGGCATAGCTCAACAACATATAAGGTTTGTTGACATAGTATACAGGGTGTTGTACTTCATTTTT